TTAATCGTCCCCAATTCAATGATATTGGCCATGGTGTCCCAATTATGCGCTGTGACAACACAATCCCTATAAACTTGTGAAGCCACAATAGACTCACCAACTAGAGTAGATACAGAGAACAGCTCATGAAATTGTTTCGGTCATGCAAACCATGAACGCGAACAATCTCACGAATGTAAATCCGAGCCAGCTGCCCTGAAGAGTAGGTAGTCATGACTGGAATGAAGTGTGCAGACTTGGTTAGTCTATCCGCAATGAACCATACTGCATAAAATCTCCTCAAGGTCCATGGAAGCCCAACTACAAAATCTACAGTGATAGTTCCCACTTCCACTCCGGAATATCAAGCCTCTAAAGCAAACCATCGGGCATTCGATGCCCGTACTTCATTTGTTGATAGTTCAAACACCGAACAACATACTCAATAGTGTTGCCTCAAGTCATGAGCGAAATGGACCGTAGAATCTCCCTCAAACAATCTTCATGGCAAATTTTTGACGGAAGTACGGCCTGTGAAATAGGTATGCGATCGCATAATGGACCGTAAAACAACCTTCAAAATTCAACAAATTTTCTGCTCGACTCCATGATAAATATGCGATCCGCGGAACAGATCTGTGGGTCGAAACTTACCACAGAATTTCATTCTTCTGCCAAAGATTTCATCGACTCCTCAGTGCATTCTTGAACCTAAAAAGTCTATGCCGCAGCGCGCAAGCTTGCCGCGAAGAATTTCTACAATCACCAAACATATAAGCCTACCTGGGCATCACAAACCCCCGGGTTCTATGTGAAATTTTTATGGGGCCTTATATCTTTGAGCCGCATAACGATCGCAGATCAAACCAGGACTGCCCATTTTTGCGACCATTTTTAAGGTCCCCTTTCCGGACAACATATTCGTTTTGTGGTTCGGTATGCGACCGCGGACCCGGTTTTGTAGGCTTAAGTTTGGGAAAATTTCACCCGGTCCCATTTTTATCAAATGACATTTGGGGTCATTTGGGCTGGTTTAAATGGCTATTTGTGAGAGAGGGGAGAGAGTATATTAGAGAGAGAAGGAAGCCCCAACCCCTTCGCTCGTCAAGTCTTGCCCAATCTTGAATATTTAAGGACCTCAAGGGATCCCGGGCAATGCTCACACCCAGATTGCATAACCAAACAGAGTGAGTGCAGTGTAGAAGGGCCAACTTTTATGTGTCCAAGTTCAGAGAGAGCTCTAAGGTCCCCAGGCAAGGCTCTCACAAAAAGGGCAGAACCTAGTAGTCTAAGAGTGCATGTGAGAGTGCTTGACATAGACTCAAAAGAGTTGAGTTGGAGACCAGTTTTGAAAATAGCATGTTTGAAACAAGTTTATAAAACAGAAGAAGAGTTGCATTAGTGAAAATGGTTTTTGGAGGGGAAAGAGGATAGTAGCAACAACAACACACGCAGAACTAGTTCAGAGAGCAGTACAACTTCAGCAATTACAAGCAGGGGAGTAGGGGTTGGGGACATAGAGGACCCAAATCAGAGACACATAATTAGTCATGAACTAGGGTTAATCGAGTGCATTAGGAGACATACTAGTTGAGGGATATAAATAGGAACAAGTAAACATGCTTATTACATTTGAACTAAGGAGGGTAGAATTTTAAGCACGCTGAGTAAAGCAGTAAACAAGAAATGCAGTTTAACAGCATGAGCCATTAAGTTAGTGCAAGAGACAGGGATTGACAAACAAGGGAACACATAGAGTTGAGTTTAAAAATTTGAACTAGGAACATACCAGTTGAAGAAGCAAAGTGCAGAAAAAGGTAAAGTAATCAGAGTTCCACAGTCTAGCCTTGGCTTTCAGCCGGCTAGATAAAGTAGTAGCACAAGTAGTAGTAGAGAAAAAAAGAAGAGAGAGTTTGAGTGTGTAAGTGTGTGTTCTGAACTAAATTGTTCGTGTCTTGTCAATGAAAGCATTAGGGTATTTATAGCTTTTAAACAAAGTGGAAAATAAGGTAACAAGTAAAGATTTAGCACAATTATGGAAGTAATCACCATCAGAATCAATTAATACAAGTACTTCCCTTAATCAAGGAATTACAGCTCAAACGGATATTAACAGGGATAATTAAGGAAAGAAAATCAGTTTGAGAAAGATTGATTTTTACCATATAAGAGGTAGTAAAGTATAGGGCATATAATTGAGTCTGAGTACATAATATACCTAATTTGGGGAAAGGATTCAGCAGGGGTGAAACATCACAGCAAATAAGGGAAGGAAATCAATCAACTTGAACAAACGAGTAAAATTTTAGGGGTTTATAAGAAAACCTTTGCAATCAATCGTAACTTGAGGAAATCAGATCAATCAAGGAGTTATGATTCTGCACTTTGACATATCAATAGAGAAGAATGAACAGGAACATCAGACATGCAAAGCCAACCATATTGACAAAAGAAGCAACTAGATGAACACAAACATACAGTAGTAACATGAGTTGGCTAAGGAGTCAGTAGTAAAAGAACCTACTCGAAGCATGGTGGTCAACAAAGTCAAGTAGTCATGGCTAACACATCGAACCAGAGAGAAAAACCAACCCAACAGGTAAAGAAGATCAACACACATAAACAAGAAGGTCTTTAAACTTATAGTAATAAGTGGAGAAAATCATTTAAGAAATTAGGGTTTTATCAGAGTTGAGTTGAAAACGGTAAGAACTCAGAATCACTCAAGTTAAAGAAAAGGATCTAACCATAAAAAACTCAATAGAAACAGGCATACATACAAAATAAACAAAGATAGTTTCAGAACCCCGGATAAGACCAAAAATACTTAGGGTTTTCAACACGATGAACCAGGTAGAAGAAAATATAAACAACCCATTTAAACATAGTAGAATCATAAGACAACACTGAAGATCAGAGGAGAAGTCTTTTAAAAGAGGTTAAGAAAAACCCTAATTTTGATGACGGAGAGTCACTTTGAAAAAAAAAATCGGAATAACCTTTGAGAAGAACACCAAGAGGTTCATAACATACACAGATCTAAGACAGATCTAAAAGAAAAATTGGACAGTCTTTAATGTTAGGGTTTCGGAGAACCCAAAAAATTGAGAAAACTTCGAAAAGTTACCGATCTAGACGAAAGAGTCACAGATCTTACTCGAACAGCCATGGATGGTCGGAATATGGCATGGGGAGGCGAGTGAACCACCTCTGGTTCACTTGAAAGCCTCAAACGGTGACAAACATTCAAGAGGGAGCCATAAGGCTGGTAGGTGGTGAGACCACCATAGATTCAGGCAAGGAGATGGCCGGAGAAAGTAGGTGAAGCTCATCGGAGAGGAGGGGAGGGGGGAAGGTTCTAGAGAGAACCAGAGATAGAGAGAGAGAGATTAGAGTCGGTTGAGTGAGGAATGAAAGGGTTTGGGGGGTCGTTTGGTTTAATTTAGGAAGGGGAGCTGGGCACCGTTGATCTGAATGATCAACGGGCCAGATTGAATGGGGTAGGTGGGGACCTAGGTTTGGGCTTGGGTCTGGTGGGTTTTCAATTGAGTTGGGGTCCGGTTTTAATTAAAAATGGGCTGGGAATTGGGGTCCAATTTTGACCATAATTAAAAGCCAAATTTGGCTAAAATTTAAATAGCCAGTTTTTCCCTATTAATTTTATAAAAATAGTAAATAATTTCTAAAGACTAATCTAAAGAGCTAAAATAATTTATAGTACATAATTAAAGATTTAAAAATACAGGATCCAATTTTATGTGTATAAATCATAATTAAACTTTTAAATGGCTAATATTGCAATTATGTGCAATTTAGCTTTAAAAATACTAAATATAATTGTGAAAATATGTAAAAATTATTTTAGCCATATTTTGGTATAAATATAGAAATACAATAGATGAATTATTAAAATAATAATTTTGAAAATAATTATTGGGGATTTTATGGGTAAAAGGGAGGAAATAAATCAATTTAACCCTTTAAAATTATGGAAAAAATAATAAAACACTTGGAATGCTTATGTATGCATATATATGCTATTTTGAAGTTATTTTGCATATTGAAAATATATAGGAAAAAATTGGGTATCAACAACTCGCACGACAAAGACCTCGTGCTCTCACGGCAAAGACCTCGTGCTTTTATAATCACACTCGCACGGCAAAGACTTTATGCCCGCGCAAAAAGACCTCATGCTCATATAATCACACTCGTATGGCAAAGACCTTATGCCCGCACGACAAACAGTTAAATCAACCTAACATGAAAAAATTAGAAAATATTTTTCAAAATATGGGTCAATGTAGTACTCTAACATTGAGCATTCCCATGGGTCAAGGTTGGGCATCATCGTGGATCCATTTGGGCTGATGATTCTTGATAGGTTAACTTGGACTAGCCCAAAACATCCCATTTTCAAAATCATTCTATCCCAAAACCATTAAAATTTGGATGGAATGGGTGGGTGAAATGTGTTTGGGTTAGTTTTGCCACCCCTAATCAAGATGGTGTTGAAAATAAGAATTCTCACTTGGCAAATGAATGCGAGGAAGAGGTTGTCCTTGACTTGGCAATAACGATCAAAAAATACACGGTAATGAAGTGGCAAGTGTCTCAAGGATGCGATCTTGTGATGAGAGGCATATATACTTCCATTCTTATAATCTTCCAACTAATGATAGATGGTTACACGTACAAATTTAATCTGACGAGTCACATCTTGTATCATTCTATTTTACCTGCTCTAAGACCTGTACCATAAATTTAATCTTAGGCAGTTTAGGAGCTATGAAAACAGAGAATTTTGTCAATTACCTGGACTTTCGTATTGCTTAAAAGTGTCAAATATACTAATTTGTACAAACAGAGCCATTATCCGATACTAAAACTATAAGATGAATTCATGAAAATGACGTAAATACAGTTAATGGTATCAATCGAAAACATTGTTTTAGTATCCTAGAATGTAAAAACAAAGAAACCATTTTGATTTAGTTTCAAGAATATGTCTAAACCATTCATCAACAAGAATGGAAGAACACCAAAAAAGCAAGAACAATAGAGCTGTGAAGTTGAAGAGAATCCTCTTTGGAAATAACATAGAAGTCGTAGTAAGGATAAGTGTAATTCTTTTGACCCTTAGCTGGTGGCGCCTGAGTTGCTGGAATGTTGGAGTAATTAGAAGGAGGTGGCGGAGTAGTAGTAGCACCAACCGACACAATATTAGATGGTGAAGGTGGTGGTGATGCATCAGAACAATGCGACTCCGGTGGCGATGGCTGGAGAACGAGGCGCCGCGGTGGTGGTGGTGATGATGGTGGTGGCTTGAAGTCCAATGGTGAAGGTGGTGATAAACAAATAACAGGACATGTAGCACAATCACTTATGCAGAGTAAACCTGCACCTGGTGGAATCACATTTGTTTCTTGGACTTTACTTTGTTAGACAATATTACTAGAAGGAACCAAAAGGACCAAATTGTTCTGAGTGTTGAAAAAGCTTTGGAATATTTCATTGTAGACATAATATGAAGCAAGCTAAGGAGCAGTGTGGTTTTGTTGTTGAAGAGAGACTTGGTGATGCTTAGTGCTCCTTGCTTTATATGGATTTACCCCTTAAAGCATAATTAATCATAGCGTGTGTTTGTGGCTCTTTGATTCAAATATTGATAAAAACTATTCATCCATTTGCCACTTCTAAGGGCGGAGCTACATGGCTCAAAGAAGGTTCAACTGAATCTCTTTAATGTTGCAAAAATTGTGAATCAAAAATTATTTGAAGTAGTAGAATTGTATCACATATGTAGTATTCTAGCATTATTTTGAATCTCCTTATTAGAATTTCTGATCAACCCTTATTTTCCCGTCCCGGTCCCACGTACCTTTAGGTTGGTTTGGTTGCAAAGAAGTTATCCCTTGATTAATTATTATGTGACTAGTTATCCCAGGATTAGTTATTCCATCCTCCTATGGGGATAAAAAATACTACAATTCCGGGATAACTAATATCGGGATTAATTATAATGCACTTTTCTACCAACTAAACATGGGATAAACTCTTCTTGAATTTAGTCCCGCAATTAATTATTCCTTATATCTCATACCAAATGAGACTTACGGTGTACTTATCTACCAATAGTCATTCATTTCAATAGATCTTTCCTCAAATCCTGCGCATAGTGAGAGCTTAGTGCACCGGGCTGCCCTAGTCATTCATTTCAATATTTTAGGTAACTATCTGAAATTATTGCAAAAAAAGTCCAACATTATGCAGAGACTTGGCAGCAAAAGTGATCTAATTTATCAATTATATGTTGCTAAAGGTCATAGTTACTTTGACTTAACGCTCTTTTTTTACCATAGAAATGAGGGGAGATTGTATATCGTTTGTCAGCATAGTTGCCTGCCCACCCAGGTACGTGGGAAAATGCGGGTAGATATATGAGATTTAGCCATAATTGCTTTTTGACTTGTTGTGTTAGACATGGGTGTTCCCACTAAAGATCAATTTTCCGGAGGTTACCGGGACAGGCATTAATCAAATCATGGGACATCCACTACCACCTCCACCCCCTTTCTATGAAGGAAAATAGGAGAAAAAAGATTTCGTTTCTCTCGTGCCGGAGTTAGCTCAGTTTTTTTCTTTTTCGTTGTTGGGCTGGCTTTGCTAGCCATTTTATAGCTATGAGTTCGAACAATATTTAGCAACTCTTCCATAATGATCTTCTATGAAAAAAGTTTTAGCGTATTAGTCCTATTTTTATGCTAAAGTCTTGTCTCTACTCCCACAAGGCATTCATTCGACTAGCGGTCTTCTTGTTTATTGGCATAATATAAAATTGACCGGTCGACCAAATTAATTGCATTCACTATCTAAAATATGTACTCCCTTCATTTCAATTTATGTGAACTTATTTCCTTTTTAGTCCATTTCAAAAAAATGAACCCTTTCTAAATTTGGAAGCAATTTAGCTTAAACTTCCAATTCTATCCTTAACGAGAAGCTTTTATAACCACACAAATACTTTGGACTATTTTTTGACTTGTTTAGGACCACAAATTCACAAAGTCTTCATTTTTTCTTAAACTCTGTGCTCAATCAAACAGGTTCACATAAATTGGAACAGATGGAGTATAAAATATGAATATGAAATGTATATAATACACACATACATATATATATTTTGTCAGCTATAACTTTTGGGAGCGGCTAAAAATAAACTTTTCCAATTTTATTTGTAAGAGCTCTTTGGCTTGAGTACTTTATTTATTTTTTTAAATCAAAGGTGGATGTTAAAACCGAAAAAAGTAACTGATTCAATATTCAGACCGAGGCCTCATTTGTTTGCACTTAATGGAGGTCTGAATCTTAATCATTCAAATCTCAGACATTAAGTGCGTTTGTTTTTAAAATTTGAATCTTAATTATTCAGATCTTAATCATTAAGTGTGTTTGTTTTTTCTACTTCACAACCACTTAATGGGTCTAAATAGGTCTATATGATTAAGATCTATAACAAAGACTTAATTTCATTAAGATGCTATTACATATTTATTATTAACTGCCGCAACTCCTACCATTATCAACTACCACCATGCCGCCGCCACCACCATACTCAACCACCACCACTACCTCCACCACAACGCCACCATCATCCTTAATCATAACCACCACCATTATCGACCATCACCACCCACTACCCCCACCACTCCGATCACCATCATTCTCACGCACAATCAACACTCATCCACCTCAACTACCACAACTGACCACCCCATCACCATCAACAACCACAGTCGGCGCTACCCATCATTATAACATACCACCACCCACCCACCACCTTCCTCACTCACAACTACTACCACCACCCGCCAATTAACTATCACCACCACCATCCTCAATCATAATCGCCACCACTACCAATCACTACTAGCTACTAGCATGAACCACCATCATCAACCAGAACTACCACCAACCACCGCCTCTAGTCGGCATTCACCCGTTAGTCGTCATCACCAACACTATCATATTTTAAAAAACTATATATTTTATTGATAGAATATTAGATTAGTTAGTATTTCATTTGAATTTTATATTTATTAATTTTCAAATAAAAATAAATTTATACAATTCAAATGCTAAAAATCAAACAGTCTTAATTATATAGTATTCAGATCTTAATACACATCTTAATAAATTCAGATGTGCATTCAGATCCAAATATCTTAATCTGATGTGCATTCAGTATCACCGAATATGAGGCCTAAGTGATCCTTATTGTTTACATTATTCGCTAAACATAATAACAAAGTAGGATACTTTAATAAGAAAAGAAAAAAGGCAATTTATGATGGCTATCCATTATGCCTATATCTCTATCTTGAGGATAATACATTTGTTAATTTCATCTAATCTAGGTAGTTCCAGAGGTGGAAATTAGAATCCAAAGAAAGATGTGATCGGCTGCCACATTATCTTTTTGTTATGCCTTTCTCTTGACACAATCCACCTTCTGTGGATAACCAACTATCAACTATGCCAATATTCGGTGATACTACTTGCTTTAGATGCAAATCCTTTTCTTATGGAGATAAACTTTGGGACCAGACCCCTCTGATCTTTGATGTCATGTAAAGAATTTCCACGCACTATTGCAGATGCCAAAAAGCTTCTTACGGCCCAAGGATTTATGTATTAAAATAAATTAGGAAACAACCTCTAACAGAAAATGTAGGATAAAGTTGAGTACAATAGACCATTATGGTCTGGTCTTTCTTCGGACCCCACGCATAGCGGGAGCTTAGTGCATCGGGCTGCCCTTTTTAATAAAGTAAGAAGTCCTTATGAACAGTGGCGGGTGTAACCTTTGCATTCACATGTGTTGTGTGTGTGCATAAAGTTACACATGAAAAGCAGAAAAGGAAAATAAGCTACATATCAGGAGTTGGATACTCTTAATGGTATGAGGCTTTTTGGAAAAACCGTACGGATTTGGCCCAAAACGGATAGTATCATACTATGTTAAGAGTATCTTTGGACCATTTTATCCCAGTAACTGATATCAGAGCCAATGATTTGGCGGGATATATAGCCCCTCCTCTAAGCTTCGGTGACAACAAATACTCGGATAATTTGGGTGGAACACAGTTAATCTCAAAATTAGCCCATGAATAATGATGAGGCATGTTGAACTTAGTTCAAGGGAAGATTGTTGAGTGTGTGTGAACAAAGTCCTACGTAGAAAGTAGAAAAGAAAAATATGTTATTTATGAGGAGTTGGATACTATTAATTGTGTGAGGCATTTTTGGAAAAACTCCTACGGGCTTAGCCCTAAGCGAGCAGTATCATACCGTATTAAGAGTATCTTTAGGCTATTTTAACCTAACAATATGTTCACTGAAACTCAACCTTTAAGAAGGTGAGCATAGATTGTAACAACTTGACCTATTGTTTTTGTAATTTATGTAGGCTGAAGGTTTATAGAGACAGACCCGAAAATCCAAAGGTTTCAAGTGGAGTAAGACCAAGACAAAATACTTGGAGTGCAAGTTCAGACACGTAACCCAGGAAGATGGATGTGAGGTTTGATATACAAGTCATTTCCAAGAGAGTAAGTTTCAAGTACATTGGATCAGTAATACAAAGAAATAGAAAAATTGATGAGAATGTCACATATTGTAGCAGAGCAGAGTAGATGAAATGGAGACTCACTTCCGGTGTCTTGTGTGATAAGAATGTGTCACTAGAAATTAAAGGTAAGTTCTATAGAGTGGTAGTTAGACTAACTATGTTGTATGGAGCAGAGTGTTAGCCAGTCAAGAACTCTCATGTTCAAAAGATGAAAGTAGCTTAAATGAAGATGTTAAGATGGATGTGCGGGCATAACATGTTAGATAAGATTAGGAATAAAGTTATTGGGGAAAAAGGTATAAGTGCCCCTCGTGGAGGATAAGATGCGGGAGACAAGACTGAAATGGTTCGGGCATGTGATGGAAAAATAAAACATAGATGCCCCACTTAGGAGGTGTGAGAGGTTGGCCTTGGTGGGTATGAGGAGAGGTAAAGGTAGGCCAAAGAAATATTGGGAAGAGGTGATTAGGTACGACAAAGCATAGCTGATGCTTTTTGAGGATATGATTCTTCATAGGAAGGTATGGAGGTCGAGAATTAGGGTACACGGTAGTAAGTAGTCGAGCATTTTTCCTTTTCTTTCTTAGACCGACGGCAATAGTGTTAGTATGGTTCCTCTTTATTTTTACATTGCTATCTACGATCTACTATTTGATTACTATCTTTCTTTTTAGTTTTTAATAACTTCTTGTTATTACTATATGTTTTCGCTCCTTCTTTTCATCGTTTCATTAGCTTAGGGTTTATTTGAAATAACATATTTTTCCTTCTATGGTAGGGGTAAGGTCTGCGTACATAATAACCTACTCAGATCCCACCTATCGGAATTCATTGTGTTTATTGAGATAAATTAAGATTGACATTCTTAGAGAATTCTCCAACTCTGAATGTCTTCAGAGTTATGTAACCCTTCTATTTATAGTTGTAGAGGATAGACAGTCCAGCTACATATGAACTCTCTTATTTGATTCTGATTGATTCATGTGAGTCATCAAACTTATCATACCATCTATGTGATAAAATTACTTGTGATTGGCCAAGATATGTCATATTATACACTTGGCGACCTTTGGTTGGTCACTGTTTTTTTACCGGGATTGCGACATCATTTTAACATGTGGCATCATCTTATTGGTTTTGAATTTGACTGTACATGCCATGTCACTTGACATATGGGATGAGTCTGGGCCTTAAGATGAAATGAACTTTGGGCATGTAAATTAAATGGACTCATTTAATTTGCAAATTCCAAATTTGATTAAATACGAGTAACAATGAAATTTGATTAGTGGTTTTTAAGATACGTGATTTAGTTCAATACCAATTAATAATCAAGAAATATGAAGTAAAAATGAAAGATAGATGTAAATTAAACCAATGTTATTCAGCAGTAGTGACCTTGAGCTTAGTGACCTCGATGTATCTTAGGGTAGTAAGAACAATTAAGTAATAAAAATGAAGTAAGAACAATGGAGCTAAACGACAATGCTGATGAACAATAGGCAAAAAGGCAAAGAGTATATTCTTTTCTCAGTGATGATAAGATGCCTTAGAAATGATTGGGGTCCCCTTTATATAATATGGGAGCCCTAAATAAGGAATATTTCCATTTACAGTAAGGAATATTTTTGGTACAGCTGTCGAACCGCCTAGTACAGAATAGTACAATCATATTCCAGGATTTGCACCATGACTTTGGGGACGTGGCAGGAATCTAACTCGTTCTGGTACAAATCCACAACAGTACTATTTTGGGGTCGAACACACTTGATATTGGTATGCATCATGCATCGCCTTCAAACTCGGGTTTGGTACCTCAAACTCGGACTTGATCTTACCCATACTCGAACTCAGGAAAACCTCTCAAGTGTAGAAATCGGAGGTATTGGATATCGACCGTATACACATAGTCCCCGCATTTCTTAGAGTAAGATGATAAGAAACAATTTGAACCCCGATTTTCTCGAACCTCTTATGATGATGTCATTCCCGTGATGTAGCAGGCATTCGAAGTGACCGAAACATCCCGTCAATCCACTTTCCTAAAAACATTGAATGCACGCCAGTATTGGTCGGTCACTAGTGCCACCGAACCGTCATTGCCCTTCTATAAATATGAGGCAATTCCTATGAGCAAAGAACTTTACTCTTTCTTCACATCTTTCCCATCTTCATCTCTTTCTCTGATCACCCATCTCTACCACCTCTTTAAGCATTAGAAAACGCCAAGCTTTTGCAAGAAACACCACATCCCTTTGCAACCCGTATTTTTTAGCTTACAACCATGGCCAAAACTTCCAAAACGGTTCATAAAAAGGATAAAGCATCGTCTTCTTCTGCCTCTTAGCCGGAAAAACTGGTGGTGCCGCCAACACTTAAGGAAATCACACCCGGTCCTTGCATTATTATGAAGGACTTTAGCATTGAGAATCCTCCCGATGTCCCAGGCCAATGCGAGCACACATCTCGATATATTAGCTTGATAACGAAGAAGCTTATCAAGGATATAAATAAGGACTGTGGTTGGGGAGATGAGGTCAAGGTTTAGATCCCGAGCCACGATGAAAGCATTACCACCCACGTGGAGGGGTTTTTAAGTGTCTACACTTACCCCTTCACATTGATCCCCTCGATTCGATGGTGATCGATCTGCAAAACATACGAAGTCACGCTCGGTCAGATTCACCCCTCTTTTTGGCGTATCATGATCATGCTGCGGTACTTTTTTGAAAAGGACGAGGGGCTGGAATTCACCCTTAGCCACGTGGTTCGATTATATCGGCCCCAGTTATTTAAGGGGCTTATCAATCTGCAGCATCGAACAATGAAGACCTTCTTTGCCAGCACTGACGAAACCAAAGATCGGGGTTGGATGAGCCGGTTTGTTAGAGTAAGAACTTCAGATATCATCCCGGGAATAAGATGTTGTTTCTGGAGAGGTGGAACTTTAATTATAAGTAGAGTTTGTATTCCTAGTATCTACTCATATTCTGCTTCTACATTTCACAACACCTTTACCCTTCTTTTGGCAGCCGATGCTTGGGTACCCCAAGCGGTACCCGACCTCGAGGACTGGTTCTAGAAGTTAGCCGCCACCTCTTCCTATGATGAGTGTAAGTGGCACAAATTAGTGAAGGGCCAGTGGGAGGGCAAGAACCATGGTGAGTGTTTTCCCAAGTTTTAAATACCTTTCGTATATTGTTGTCGTCAATTTACTAATGTTCACTTACGCGGGCCTTGGTGATGCATCCGAGATGAGGCCGGCTCCGCCCGGGCAAAAAATCAAGCCTTCAAATCCGAAGTCTGAGAAGGACAACAAAAGAAAAAGGGTTTCAAAGCCTGAAGACCCTCAAGATAAGAAAACCCCGCTCGAAGGTTGCGGAAGAGATTTGCTCAAACATGCGCAAATTAGGCCCATGATTCCCTAGATGATGAAGAAAATGATGATGAAGACTCAACATTGGTGATTAGGACCAAGAAACCAATCCAGGCTGCCAAGCCTTCCGAACTGGAAACCTCATCCTGTGGTGAGGAGACCCCGAAGGAAGGAGCGGGAAAGGCCCCCGTGTCCCCTGAGGTTGACATGGTCCCTCTGTCTTCAACAACTCGGAAGGGGTAAATGTTGAGACCCCAATGCTAATGAGAACGCCCCGAGTGAAGAGCTCGGGGCAGCGACAACAGGTCACTCCCTTTCATTGCCAACTTATTCCGAGGGGGAAATCGAAGAAGCCAACGCTCTACGTATGCCCGATCCGAACAAGGTTGTCAAGGACGATCCCTTTTAGGGTTGCTACATTGGGATTGAGGATGCCAACGACCTTAATAATGCATCCACCATTTTCGAAGAGGCTCAACATCTTCACTCCCGGGTAAGTACTTGCCTTCATTATTGTAATTTTTTCTTTCTTTCTTTTCTTTTGACTAATATGTCTCCATTTCACTTAAAGGCCATCGTAAAGTTTAGAGCTGAGCTAATCCAATGTGAGGCCAAGCTCAAGAAAGCTTCGGGCGAAGAGAAGGCCCTGAAGCTCCTTTGTAGCCAGAAAGAAGAGGAGCTTAAGGATCTCTGAACCACATTGGCTAAAGCTAAAAAAAGTGAGTCCAAGCTAGATGAGTAGGTAAATGTGATATTAACAAGTACGGCCTTCTTGGCCCTACTTCGGAGGCTAACACTTCGATATCTTAGCTGCAGCAAAAGCTAGATATGATTGGGCGGCTCCGGGGCGAGGTAGATCAAGTTTGAGCTGATTGTCAGTGGAAGAAGAACATGAATCAACTTGCTCCCAATAAGGAAGCTGTTATGGCCCAACTGGCCTCGGCTTAAGCTCAGCTCTGATGCATTGAAGCAAAGGGTTTGGCTTAGGCCAAGAAAATTGAAGAGTTAGAGGTTGATCTAGCTAGAGCCCGGTTCGAAGCTGTACAGGCTAAGGCTGAAGCAGAGAAGACGAAGGCTACGCTGATAAATCCATTTCCATATACTTGAGGGAAGCTGTAGCCGTTCAAGTTGAGTTGAGGGAGGCCTCCGACCGGGGAAAGCGGAGCAATGAATTAGCCAAGTGCCAGGCCCGGAGGGAAACTCTCCAGGAAATCCATGCCCGAGGGTTCAACCTTGCTGAGGAGATAGCTGAAGCAAAGACGCGAGAAACCGATGATAGGTTTCTTGTCTCCTCCGATGATGAGGATGTAGCGAGTGGCTCCGGGGATGAGGAAGGTGAAAAATATGTTCCCGAGAGAGATGAGACTCCGGAAGATAGAGCCGCTGAAGATGTAGTTTCTGAAGACGACATTTCCGGGGGTGTGACCTCGAAAATAGATTAGGTTTTCTTTTTTGTGCAAGCGCCCCTTGTGGGCATTGTAAATATGTTTTGTAAATTTCCCTTATGAATATAAAGTATCTTTTTGCTCTATCCTCAATTTGTGTTGAATTTTTTTTTGTCCCCGTTTGTGGAAAATTTCGATGATTCAAATACTTAGCTCAAGTATCGGTTCAGACTCGTAATAAACCCTTAGGTTTTTATTCCTCAAGATAATACCCCTTAAGGTTTTAGATGGTCCTCGAGCTAAGCTTAAAATCAACTTGATGTGAGCTCAGAACAATGTGACTTTTGGGTCCGAGTTGAGTGAGAACGCAGTCTTAGACTCTTATAAGCTTTTGGCCTGATGTTTTAAGCGTCAATACCACACAAAAGGGGGGGATGATTTGTGTGGTATCCAATTTTCGCTTAACTAAACTATAGAAGGACCTGGTTCTTCTAGGTGTTCCAACTACTACTGTTTGTGGAATAATAAATACAAAAAATAAAGAACACAAAGATTTTTGCGTGGAAAACACCTGGCTCAAAAGGTGTAAAAACCATGACCTACTACTCAGTAGGATTTTCCCAAACTTCCACTAAAATCACTGAGCCAAAACAACATTTACAAAAACTCTTTGTAAATCTAAGGATTAACTCTAATCCCGTTGTAGCACACTGCCTCAATTGTTGCGACAACTTCAAATTAACTCTTAACTTGAACACTCTAGGTACCTAATACAATTGCTTCTATGAAAGCTGAAAGGTACAATATAAAATCACCTACTACAATTGAACAAGAATAAAAGATAGACACATGGAACTGGTTCTTTTATCTCGTTCAAGTAGCTTCAGGATTGCATACTCAAATCAGACATAAATTGCTTGCAAAATTGCCTTGCTCTTTTGCTCTCAATTTAAGTTTAACTTCTGCTTATGTGCATTACCTATAAAAGAGAACAACACTGACATTTAATAGGTTAGTAATCAGAGTTTGACTGGGATTCAATTGCTGCTCTTCTATCGTAGAAGAGTTCATAGTGATCTCAAACTATAACACTATCTTCTTCCTAAACTGTGTTCTCTTCATGTAAGGAGTCTTTCTCTCCTTATCCAATATGCAATCTTTTCAATCAGATCAGGAGATATTGCTTCTTGATCAGTTAGATTTATCTCCTTCACGTGCATCTCACATGTTTAGGTTGATCATGATTGTGCTTTACAAGATGGACCTGGTCCATATCTGAGTTCTTTTGTCAATCCTCAGAACTTCACCTGTTCTTGGGCCAACAAATTCCCCCTTTTTGATAATGACAATCTCTATTCTTTTTACTTACTTGGATCCTGTAAGAACTTAGCTGAACCATCAATTCAAAGTTTAGAAAATTCACTTATCATCAAGGACCAGGTTAATTAGGTTATAAATATCACTTAATTCAGAATGTGTAAAGCAATCTCTTCCCCTTTTGGCATCATCGAAAAGTTGCATACAAAATGTGATTCCTAGATTTTAATAAGTACTCATGGCCACTGGGGTGACTGCAAGTGCAATCATGGTTTAATCATCAGTAATCAAGAAAACATATTTAAACTATCAAGGAAAGATTAACATAGAACAAGAGCAAAAACAATAGATATCATTGATGGAGGATATGTTGCTACCACAATGCACAACCAGAAAACAAAAAAAACATTTAAACCATGAGCAAAAAGATAGAAAAATCCCTAATCCGGGTCACTGAAGGTACTAGAAAGCTAGAATTCCTAAGGCTTGGGGGAGCTAGAAGGTTGGTTTTGGGCTTGGAGAAGATTCAACATATTATGAAGAATTCCATCATTCTTCTTCTTTTCCTTGGCAAGCTCAGTATCCTTGGATTCACATTCCTGAACAAGAGCCCTGACTTTACTGTTGATAGGAGTCTTCTTGGATGAATTAGGTTCATTTGGGATGGCATTGACCAAATAGTCACAAGCAATCAGAGTGTTAATGCCAAAGTGATCCTTGCTTGAAGCCATTTCCCATTTGTTCAAAGGCACATTGCACCTATCCATAATCGTAGTCAGAATAAAGCCATAGGGGGTAGCATGAGCCTTTGATCCTTTGATGACCCTGTCCAGCATAATGATGATGAAGGCAGGCCAATTAATTTGCTTTCCACTTTCTAGGCACTCCATAAGAACTAGGTTCATATAATTTGCAATATGCCTTCTCTCCTATCTGGGCAGTAGGCACTTATTGACAAATTCAAACAAGACCTTGTGTTGAGGCCTCATTTCACTTTTCTGAACAGCCCTAGCCTCATTCACATCTTCAGCATCACAGAACCTCCTTGTAATGTCAAGGGTAGTAGGAAGGGAGTCCAAACAAGGCAACCTTTGCCTTATATAGTCATCAAACCCTTTAGAGGGTATATCAAGGATCTCTCCCAGTTTTTCTGCATCAAAGGATACTTGAACTCCTTTCACCAGGCTGTTGACCTTGCCATCCTTTACCTCTGCATTTTCCATGAACTCGATGATCTCATTCCTGGCTAGCCTACCATCCATCTGAAGGACCATGTCCTTCCACCCCTGAGCAGCTAAGACATCCACCATTCTCATCATTCCTGGATCCACTAGGTCTTTCAACTGACTACTCTTCAAAATCTTTCTTTTGCCAAACATGGCAAGCTTGTCTTGTTCACCATCAGACTCAGCATCTTCTTCTTCTCCACTCCATTCCTCATCTTTAGAAATTCTTACTGTTGATACCCAATTTTTTCCTCAAACTATTTTTAAATTTGCATATATGCCTTTAAATTTACTTTTTATAATAATTGGTACTTTTCCATAATTTTCCATATTATTATCAATTTATTTTCTAATTTATTCAGTACTTTATATCCAATAATTATTCATAAATTACATTATAAGTAATTTCAAAGTATTTCTTAGCTCAATATATCTTTTTTAATCCTATTAGGATTTAATCATTTCACAAATTAGCCAATTTGGCATTATTTGGCTATAATTACAATAATTTTGCAATTATAGCCTAATTGTACACTTTATGCTATTTTAATTCAATAATCAGTCATTTTATATTTTTAATATTAGTTAATTAACTTAATTTCACCTATTTATCATTAATTTAATTTCCTCCAATTACTAGCTATTTTTATTAATTATTTATCTAATTTTAATTGGGTATTTAACAAATAGCCAATTCTATTTTCAATTCTAGCCTAATTGAATCAGATCCCAACCCAATTTAATAACCCACCAGACCCAAGCCCAAACCCAAACCATACGCAACCCAATCCCTGGTCCAATCTGGACCGTTGATCAATTCTAATCAACGATCCAGATCCCCCCACACCATATTAAACCCTAATGACTACCCCCCTCTTCTCTCATTTCCCCTTTTCATTCTCTCTCAACCGGTCTCTCTATCTCTGGTTCTCTCTAGAACTTTCTCCTCTCCCCTCCTCTCCGATGGACCCTGTCCACTTTCTCCGGCCTCCTCCCTCGCTGGAAACCATGGTCTCTCATCATCTCCTGGCCTCTGCTACACCCCATGTCGGTTTAACACTACCCTAAGGTCCTCAAGTGAACCTGGAGCGGTTCAACTCCTACCCATGGTCCTTCATGCCATTTTTCGGCTACCTCCGGACGTTCGAGTAAGATCTATGAATTTTTCGGCTAAAACCGGTAACACTTTAAGGTTGTCTCATCTTCTCTGGGATCTATGAAACCCTAACTCTTAAGATTTTCCGATTTCTTTTAGATCTGTGTATATTATGAGCTTTTGTTGTTTTCCGCAAAGGATTTTCCGATTTTTCTAAAGTAACTCTTCATCTTCGAACTGGGGTTCTTAAACATCTTTCCAAAAACGCTTCTTTCTTCTGATTTTTGTATTAATCTGCGAGTCTCTATGTTTAAAATGTTTGTTTAAGCTTTCTTATCTATTCGAGTTATTCTGTTGAAAACCCTAATTTCGTCTCTTATACTTCTTAGATCTGTACATATCTGAGAAGGATCGAACTTATTTTTATTTGTTTTTATGGAAAATCTCTTGATTTTCGAGTGGCTTGTCATCTTCCTAAACTAGGGTTTCTGAAAATCCTTTTCTTCGAAATGCTTTCTTGTTCTAAATGCTTGATCCCCTGTGTCTATGTGTTTTGACTGATTTTGTTGAGTTCTTCCTTGACCCTAACTAGCCTAGGTCAAAAACCCTAATTTTTAGGGTTCTTAGTTTGGTTTTTGTGTATTAGCATGACTTACTGATTCTCATGTTTCTTTTGAGTTCTTGAGATTTCTGGTGATAGCCTTGCCTTGATATGCTTGTACTGAGTTTCTCAGCCTAGACTTACACCAATTCTATGTATTTGTGTTCATCTTGACTGTTCGCATCAAGACTTGCATCTTTCTCATTGATTCAGTATCGTTTGATCTTCATATTTTGCTAGAGTTGTGTGCCAATTCTTGACTACCCATGTCTTACTCTATTTATATGTTAAACATGCTGACTCTTTTCCATGACTTTCTCTTTGATTGATTCTGAATTCCTTATTACTTGGTGTGATTTGAACATTTTCCTTTCGACCCCCCCAACTCCTACCTTTCCACTTAATTTGATTAGTTGCTTGCCTTAATTAATTTTCACTTGCCTTGTCTGCATTGCTACTTAATTCTTTCTAATTGTTTCCTTAGTTTGATAACTTTCTGAACCTAGCCTTACTTACCTGTTCTATACTGGTATTATTTTGAAATCTTTCCTTATTTGTTATACTCCAGCCGTGTATGATTTGTTTTCTTACTTGTCACCTGCTCTTTACCATTTACACTGACTCCCTTAATTAAAAGGAAATTTGAATCAATTTTTATAATGAGTTCTATAATTACTGAAGAATTGATTCTTGCCTTATTTTAACCAGTTTTCAAACTACTATATAAATGACTCTTCTACAGTCTGGACAAAAAAAATCTGTTCATCTCTCTCTCACACAACTAAAAACTCTCTATTCTCTCTTCTGTGCTACTTGC